TAATTTTGGCCCACATAAGCCAAGTACCAACAGTTTTTCAGTACCTGAGGTCTAAACTCAAACTCTCTTTGTGAAAATGTTCTTCTGTATATTACATGAATGTTTACTAGGAGAGGTCTGTTTTGGAGATTTTGCTTACACAAAAATTAACTTTGTGCATTTTTTTCCTCTTCTTTTTTTTTCCAGCTGCTTAGAGATTAAAAATGTATGTATGTTTGCCTGTTTGTTTATTGTCATGCAAGGAAACAAGCACTGTGAAATTATTTTGGGATTTTTTTCATTTGAAGGAGTTGAGCAAAAGCCAACAGATGATGAAGGGAGGACTGTACTCAACTCTCCATAAATTGTTATTGCTTAGATTCTTGTTAACAAAATATGGGAAGACATACACTTAGAGCATGTAGATGTTTGAAAAGTGTCAACAAGTTAGAAATATTACTTGCATGAAACATGACGGTTGCATAAAAAGCTAAGGAATTTATTGCAGCATCCCGGGAAGGGCACTGTGGGTGCCTTCCCGGTAGGCTTGGCTGTTGAACAGGAAGACTTCATGTTCTACTTTTACTACTAAGAAAGCTCAAGGGAGGAAAAAGCTGGTATTCAACATGCATTGTATTTGACATGAAAATTAACTAGATGATTCTGAGGCTTTCTTTTTACCTACCAACTAGGTGCATTTCTTAATGAGATAGGAACTAGAATATTTCTAAATGTTTTGTGAGTTACTTTGTCAGCAGTTAATGGCATTGAACATGTTTGCATGGGTATTTACATACGAAGTTTTTTGAATGGCAGACTAACGAAAGCAATTGCTGCAGTTACTAGATTTTTGTATTTATTTTCAAAGCATCAAACCTTATGCAGTTTCTTCTGGATATTAAAACACTTTTTTTTTTTTGAACACATGCTGTGAGCATTAACCTTCAACAAGTTTTCCATGTTTTCTTAAGAACAAGCCCAACCCCATTGCCTTCAAAGTCTTTTATTCTGTTCTTCTACAGTAAAGCTTTACTTTCCTGTTCACAAACAGCTGGATATTGTTTTTTTCCAGTGTGTACATACTTTTCATGTCAGTCGGTTGTCTGTTCCCTATCCCCCCCTTGCAAGTTTGCAACATACAATTCCTACTTGCAGCATTTTCAGTAAACATGAGATCAAACGATTATACAGAAATAGCTTTTTCTATAAAATTTCCAATAAAAAAATAAGTATTTATTTACAAAGTGTGTGCTACTACAAAGTAATATTTCCTATTGGTTCATATATACTATATGCTAATACCAGTGTTCCTATTAGGAAAGTAAAACTTTGTGTACTTTTCTTTGTATTTCTGTCAGTGTTTAAAGCATATCAGATAGTATCCACAATCTCTTTATGCTGCTCCTAGCCATGCACAGTGTGTTAGTAGAAACTAACACTTTTTGATGAAGAGAAAAAAAAAATCAAGATTAGCAGTCTTAATAGCAATCTCTTTGCAAGAAGAAAACTTTATAATTTAAACGTATATGGAGAGAAAGAAATCGATGGAGAATTCAAAAAATCTGTAGCAAATTGTTTAAAATGTGTAGGTAGCATGGACTTTCCCAGATACATAAATGTAGCATTTGGAAAAAGGAGAAAATGCTTCAAGCTCGATTCTTGTTTTCTTTCAACATATTTATGTGATACTGTATTCCAGTAGATATTTTGGAGGGGAAGAATAGCAGATTAAAATATTAAACTTTGAAATCTCGTGTTGTTTGCACTGACATGAATTAGATTTGTTAGTGCTTCTTTTCTTCTTAGTTCAGCATTGAAAGTTAGCATAAAAGATCTCTGTTCGACTGATATCCTTCTTTGGTGAAAAAGTCATTCTTTTATTTCATTTAAAACAATTAATGGACTTTAAAGTGGTTCCTTCATTTTAAACATAAAAAGGAGATGTATCTAGAAGTTATTTCTGTGTAGAATATAGCTGATGATGTTAGAAGTGGGGATGGCAGAGTCACCTTTTTTCAACATAATACGTAGTGCAGTGGCTTTGTAACATTGATTTATATAAATCAGTCGGCATTATTTCATTTTTAAGGGATTGGTCCATTGTCAGTTCTTCTTATAAATGCCAACAGACATGCAATGGTTTTAAACCTGTGCCTATACGTGCTGGCTAGTTGTTCCTCACATTGTTCCAAATGCAAAAGTTGGTGCTTGATTTGCATTTGGGTCCTGAGGGAAGAGAATGAACAACAACCTAGTTCTTACAGGCTTGTTGACAGTAGGATTTTTTTTCTTTCAGATAGATGTTTGAGTTAGTCATAAAAACCTGTCTATAGAAAGCATTTTTCACGTATACATCCTGGCTTTAGGGGAAGGTGCAAGGATTTTGTGTGACACATTCTGATTCAGCTGGCATGTTCCTGGGAAATTTTGGGAGATCCACGTAATTCCTGTATTACCTGCAACCAAATCTACTAATTGTTACAGTTGTATTACAGATAAAACAAATCCATTCAAAAAAAAAAAAAAAGTGACTGATTTTTGTGTGAGGTTATTTTCTGGTCAATGTTTCAAGTTGTGTGTCCATTCCAGAGTTGTATGTGACCCAAAGGGTAGCTTTAATCAAAACCATGTGTTGCTGAAAGGTTGATACATGAATCAAATTGAATCCTCACACAAAAAGCAATATAAACTGAAGCGTTTCTACGGAGTTATCTTAAATTTCAATGGAAGAGTTTATGACTCTTCAATGGAAGAGTATGTGATGGGCGCCTCTTCTCTTCCAGTCTACATCTCACAGATGAACCATTGCTGCTACATGGAAGGCATGAGAACCAGCTAGTGTTAGGGATGCATTTCTGTTTCACTCAGCCCTGGTAATGATAAAAGGCTTAAAACAAGTCATTGGGAGAGGTTTATTTTGTCTTGAAAAAAAATCCAAAATACTGTATAGTATACTACTATATACTGTATAGTATACTAGTGTATACTGTATACTACAGCAGGATTTAAATTTTAGGTAGTTATTTCCTCTTGTCAGCTGGTGTTTTAGTCATTTGCCTGCTGTTACTCATTATTCCTAGGTGTGAGACTTCCCCTCCTGCCCAGTAGGATTTGGATGGTTAGATCAAATGACTTCCTCTCCCAGTGCTGAGGAGGGATTTTTAGTGTTGTGCCTGTTTAAATATCTGAACTGTTGGATTTTTTTGGTGCTGTAGGAAGGATATATGCAGGAGGGAATCATTTTGGTTTTGACTGATCTTTGAGGTAGGCCAAAGTGGGAATGTTAAAGGTGTCAAATGAACAAGCGCTCTCTAACAGCTGTGACAAATAGCCACTTTGATTACTTGGGCTGAGTGTTTTTGTGAGTTGTCTTGTGGCTGCCAGTATCAGCTGGGCTAGGTATCCCCGAGTACTAACTCGCATAGCAGAGGGAATGGGCAACTGGGAATAAGGTGCCTTTTTGTTTGGTTGGGGCTTTTTTTGGCAATTGAAGACATGAATTCATGTCTATGAACATTTGTTCACAGACTCCTAAAAAAAAGAAAAAATTACTTAACTCCCAAGCATAAATAGCAAAGATCTATAGCCTGGTCTGAGAACTCAGGTAAGTCTATGGCATAACAGTTTCAAGAAATATCCTCGTGTCAGGACTTGGTTGTGTTATACCTCCCAGCAGGAAATAACGTTTAGAACAGCTGACATACTTGGAAGGGTGAGTGAGAGAATGACAAATTCTGAATGTTTTTCTGGCATGTTAGTCCTGGACATAGGTTAAGATTCATTAAGTGGCCCATTAAAAGAAGTCCACACCAACTTTTCTTAGATTCTGAAGGGTTCATCGGTAACGCTGCAATAGGCACTATTTTCCAGTGCTGAGGGGTTGATGGTTTCTGGCATGAAATACCCCAGGACACTGTGATAGCTCAACTGCAGCATCTCTTTAAAATAAAGTAAGCTTATAGTAAGGAGAATAGTGTTTCCTAAAAGTATGACTGTTATTAAAATTTATTCATCAAAACTTCACATGTGCCTATGGTTGTTTTCCTGCTTCATCATTTAATGGATAAACTTGAAGGTGTTGCCTTTTGTATTTGCAACGTGAGAGGGGAAGGAGGGGAAAATAACATTTAGCTTTATTAGGTATCTTGCTGTTGTGCAAGGTGATACGGATCCACATGAGGATTCTGTATACTCAGCAACTTGCAGCTGCTCCAACAGGAGTATTTTCAAACAGCAGTCCATGTTCCCCGCCACCACCACTATGCCAAACCCCTTAACCAAAATGGAAATATCTTCAGTGTGGCTTGTACTAGTTTCATGAAGTTAGTTTAAAAAAAAAATCATATCTTTAAGTAAACTACTGCTACATGCTTTAGCATTTACTTAAATATACATGCTTTCTTGGGTGGATTTTTGACATGAATTCCAGTTTTGAACTAAAAGACTGGCACAACTTTAATGTAACTTTTAAACCCAATGTCCACAACTAATATATCTGATTTCCGCACAGTAGAAAAATGTTGTATCCTACATGTAAGTTTGCAGTGGTGATAAGTTTTTCTAAGTCAAATTTAGATTATTTTCAAGCACCATAAAGTTCAGAAAAAAAGTTTACTTGCAATATATATAAAAGCACATATACACAGCATTATATTGCCTTCAGCCAACTCCTATCTGAATGTGTAACCAATACACAGCGTTCAAGAGACAGAGTATGTCACTTGCAAGTTTTACTTCGGATATTTGTGGAAACTAAAATGTAAATGCTGCCTTACAGAAGGTAAAATCTAGTATTGGTTGCTAGTTGTTTCATTTGAATGAATATTAAGGGTATTGCACAAGAGAATAGAGGACAGTGACAGCTGACTAGAAAATGGGAGAACTCGTGTTGTTAATGATCCTATTTACTCTGGAAAATATTTCCTGTGCAGGAAGAGCCTGCACAGCGAAGCAACTGAAAATGACTACTGCTGTTAAGTTAATGGGAGCTGTGTGATTGCTTAATATTCTTGTAACTCATAATTCCTCAGAGCAATTCAGAGGCAACATTTAAGGTTCTACTTTTTTTGTGTGTGTGTCAGCTAATGAGCAAGAATGGTTGAAAGCCTTGCTCAAAATCATATACGCAGTCACTATGGCTGGATAAGGACCAGAATTCTTCTAATTCGTAGACTTTAGTGCAACCACAAGACCACAGTGCTCTAATAGAACTTCATTCTCAACTGCAATTTGGCACAAAGAATCCCAAAGGGAGAATATTTCTTTGATGCCTTTTCTAAGTGTTCGAACTTGTTCTGTCCTTTGTATTTAACTCGTTCAGAAAAAAAAATTGGAAATCATAATTCAGCCATCTCCATAAATGTTATGAGCTCCTAGATTTCAAACAAGCAAACAAAACCCTAGTAATAATAATGAAACTGTAGTGTTTCATAGCTTTAGGTTTGCCAGCAAGCAAGTAGCTGTGCAGTCTGCTGCTCTGAGGGAAATGGGTTCCAGTGGGAGCAAGATCTCACACATATTCCCCCTCAAAAGCAGGACAATGAAGCCAAGAAAATGTTGTACAACTCTGGGCATTTTTTTCCCCCAGCTTCTTGTAATTTGAAGTGCTCTTCTTTTATTGTTTAGATTAGTGGGGTTTTTTTTAATGCAAATTTTGAACTTAAAATGTAAGGAAGGTGTAAAGAAGTCAGGTATGTCCCCTAGTGTATGGGGCCTCAGAGAATAGTACATTATTTAGAAAATATTCTGTTCTTAAGCTTGCAGTAGAATGTCCTGTATGTAGTGATATCTTTGCTCTGCCATCTCTGCTGACAGAGTATTACTATTTTTTGGAAAACTATTAAGAATAAAAAAATCATTCATAAAAGTGGTAATCCCATAACAGTATCTGTGGAATAGCTCCTCCTCCTCTTGCTACAAAAGTGAGCCACTTCAATCAAATGCACTGAATCCTTCTGTGATAATATTTTTTGTACTTGTAAAGCTTTATTTCTTTATATAGAGGTAGTGTGACAGATTTGGTTGAAGTGAGGTTGCTGTACATGCCTTGGTCAGCTGTTGTCAATGAGGTGTGTGCATAGAACAGTCTTAACAGTCTTGCTGAGGGGATGAGTAACATGATAAGCAAACAGGACTTTTTCTCTGAGCATTTGTACATAATTTGGGTAACCTTGTTAGCTCTATTTACTCAAATGAGAGCTATGCCTAATTAATGGCACCAGCCTATCTGTGCATCAAATTTAGGAGTTTAAACTCTCTGTTTTAAGTTTCTACCTAGATGTTTTAATTTTTAATGTGAGGCTGCAGGTGTGCTTGAATGCTCCTTGCAGTATCTTTCTAGCTTAAGCCTCAGTTTTTCTTGCTAGTTTGGACACAGTGCTTTTGGGTCATGTTGGCTTGAATACAGATTTGGCTGGAACAGATGACACAGACAGGCTGTGTTAGAACAACGGCCACAAGAATCAAGTGATCTGGCTTGCCACCATGTTCAAGTAAGGTATCAAAAGTTGCCTAATCTGTAACCAAATAACAGCCAAAGTCATTGTGTTCTGAAGCTAATACCTTGGTACTTAGAGATAGTTCACTATTTACATGTAGTATAAAAACTAAAAAGGAATAACTTATTTTTAACTGGATTCATGTAACTAAAAAGTTAACTTCAAGACCTATCAAAATACTGAATGTTTTAACACCATCAGAAGAGAACCAGTTGTACTGTATTTTGCTTTGCCATTCAAGATTTTTTTTTCAAGTCTTTGAGATCAGATTTGATTTTAAATGTAGCATACAGAGCCTCCTGTTAGAAGCCTAATTTCAAATTGGATTCACTTGTATAATGTCAGCCATAAGTATTTTAAGAAGTTGCTTGCTATTAATATTTTCCAAAGGTGCATCAAGGTGCATGCAACAAAAGTTAACTATCAACATGTTAAATTAGTCTATTACTAAATTCCTAATGCAACTATGCATTGTTGATCTTTTTTGTTAAGTCTTAACCTGTGACTTTAAAAGTTTCAATTGCCTGCCCTAAATTTTAAAATCCTGCCCTGAAAACATGTTATGCAAATTCTTAATATAGAGGCCTTTTTACAAATATACATGTTGTAAAATCAAATGGTTACAAAATAAGAACAATTACACTGGATACACTATAATCTATAAATACATTTTTTTCATTTTTTTTTACCCTTGGAAAAAAGCTGGTGTAGAGAATATATTTCTGACTGCTTAATAATGGCAAAGAGTAATCACGTATTATAAATAAATTAGACCTGCAGTAGAAACGAACATACAAATCTTTCAAAAGAGACATACTAATATTATTTTAGAGCATCTAAAATGGATTTAATCTATTTCAAGATTCATTTAATCACTTGCGATTTATATTACTTTAAGAATCTTCTATACAGGAAATTGAACAGAAAAAAGCAAACATTCTAACAGCCCCGCTCCCTATAATAATTTTCATACAAGATATTTTTAAATAGCTATTTAGCACGTGAATGTGCACACACTTTTTTTTCTGTTTTTTTTTTGTTTTGTTTTTAAGGTAGTGCAGCCAAAAGACAATGTGAGAATCCGCATTTGTTGACTGACCCTGTTTTCTGTCTGGTTATGGTAAGGGGAAATAGAGACTTAAGACATAATGTCCCAAAATGGAAAAAGTTAACTTGATGTTTGCTTCTCTACATCTCCTGGGACTTTGTTCTTTTCTGTGGTTGTAGTTGATAAAAAATACTTCGCTCTGTGTCTGCGTATCGCTCTGTGTTCAACTGCAAAAAGTTTTCAATTTCACCTTTGGATGCGTTTGTTCTGAATCTTCGCTGAACACAGTGCAAACAAAAGCAAGAAACTTAAATCCAAAACAGGAGCTCTCATTAAGAACAAATATGAGAATTATTTCTATACTCAGTTTTCTATTGTCCTTATTCTGGAGAAGAAGAATCTTCATCTTCATCCTCTTCATCTTCATCATTGAAAGAGCATGGTGTTTCTCCCCGTGATTCTGAGTAGCGAGATGCAGCACTGCTGGACTGCTGACTGCTAGGGGCAAGGAGCTGCCCAGTTGCTAAGGCCACTTCAGCATCCAAACACAACCCTGGATTCTCACTAGCAAAACAACAGAAATGTTGACATTTAGAGGATTTCTCAGGAAGGTTTAAACTTTCTTTTTCGCCTTGGTTATTCTCTTAAGAAATGCTACCAACAAGGAAACATCCCAAAGCTGTGCATAAAATACAGCTAATAGTTTAAAAAAAAAAAAAAAAAAAAAAAGCTGAAAATACAGGAAAATAGCAGGGAAAAGATGACTGGGAGGCTGTTTTGTGTGTTTGGTGTATATATTTAAATTTAGAGTAGTTCTGGCTATACACAGAAATTTATGCAAAATGAAGCAATTAAAAGCCATAAAGAATACCTTGATCCAGAATAATTCCTCCCTTGTTCTTTTTTAAAGGTAGAGACCCCCAATGAAAATGCGTGTGTGCGTGTGTGTGCGCGCGCGCGTGTGTGCAGGCAGGCAGTGTCGTTTTTTTTTTTTTTTTCCTTTTGGTTTGTTTGGGTTTGTTTTTAATTATGACTTGACTGTGGACAGAACTTACATGAGATGTCAAGCAATAGTGCACTGAGTCACAAAATATTAATTTATATTCTTCATAAGTATTATCAGGCTTTCTTCCACATATAATTACCTCTTTGTAGTCTATGCCCAGACAGACATTTACAGTTAAGCGGAAAACTGTGTTAATAATGGCTTGGAAGTGATTCTCCTTTGAAAATGAGATACAAAGCAGTATGTTGAAAAATTCAAACGTGCTGGTTTGGCCTTTTATACTTAATTACTTTATGAAGGAAGACTACAACAGATTCTTTCACAATCAAAAATGAACTGCAGTAGGAAAGATTTCACTTTTTACTTGTAAATAGTATGAAGCAGTGAGGTCTTGAAGGTTCCACAAGCATGTAGCAATAGCCTCAAATAAAAATAGACTTTAGTTACCTTGATTTAGAAACAGAGGTGCCTCCTGCTATGTCTATATGTGAAGTTGCTTGTGTTGAACTGGAAAATAATCCTTGGTTCATCCAAGAAAATCCTGTAGACATATCTAGAAAAAAGCATATTTGCATGTTATTACGGTTACACATGTTAAAACTTGCATGCTCTTTATTTTAGGGAAGAAAGAGTACCGGTAGCTGCTTTTTATGCTGTAAATGACAATCAAGGAGATGTTTTTCTTTCTTTTTTTGAATATCTGTTCCTCAGGGTTTATGGATGACAGACACCTGTCTCAATTGTGCAGTCACAGCGTAGCTAGGATGAGTCTGAGTGAGAAGGATAAATAAATGTATATGTGGCCTTTGCGTCTAGAATTGTGGCTATTCTTATGAAATGTTATTTATAGGAAGTTGTCTGAAGTGAATTTGCACTGCAGGTGAGGCCAGGAGCAGCCTTATGCAGCCACAGGTATCTGACACTGAGGCTTGGAGTCCTTCCTGGAGACTTTCTACTACAACAGCGCCAAAGGCTGCACTGGGCGAAGGTTCCACTGCTGGCTGCAGCTGGCGACAGGGTTTCCTGTGCTGCAGTGACAGGGTGGGGTGTGTGCTGGTGGCTGAAGGCAGTTTCACCGTGGCGGTCTTGCAGCTCCTGTAACAGGGAGGACTAATCCTCTTTTGGCACACAGTACGTAGAAATGGCTACCAGCTGGGGCTCAAACGGACCATGTAAAAGACTTGGTCCGAAGGGTATAAAAGAGATGTTTTTGTATAGTATATGTGGCCTCTCTAGAAACAGAAAATGTTAGAAATAAAATAGCAGATAAGAATTAGCTTTTGAATGAAGATGGAAGACAGAAGGCTATTCTGGAATTTGTACAGGTTGATAAAAACACCTTATCTTAAAAAAGGTGGGTGGGCAAAACAACAGAAAAAAAACCTGTAAGTGGAATTATAAACAAGCCAAATAACTGTTTTGCAATTTTCTTGTCAGAAATGTTAATGATTGGAAACGATTAACAGTTAGTACTTGTTAGGGAATTTTAAATATTTGAAAAAAAGAACCCTAGAAGAACTATAATGGTCTTAAGTAACCAACCCACTCATCTCTGTCAGAGGGCTTTTCACATATTTACTGAAGGAATTCAGGATTATTTCAAGACCCTCAAAGCTCCTTTCATCAAAGCAGAAATTGGTATGTAGGCCCAAATTCAGCTGAGCAAGGGACTAGGCTCTCAAGGGGACAATTGACTCATGATGGGGTGCCATCGACTACCTCCTGTGCCAGGAAGAATTTGCGCACGTGTGTGTGCATATATGTGTGTGTGTATATATATATATACACACACATTACATAAATATATACATACATTGTATATATTTAGTAGATGTAACTTTGGTGTGGTAGGTTATCCAACCAAGGCTGATACTTTGTGGGACAGTACAGGAACTGGTAACCAAGCAGCTCCAGGGTGAGCTATGAGGAGCAAAGAGATGAAAATATTTTGAGTATGGACACAGTTGGTTGCCTTTCATTAAGACCGTCCGAAATGCTGTTTTGGATTTATAGAGAACATGTTTCGACAGGTTCCTCCTGTGTTTGCACACTGTTCTGAACCATTCGGAATGACAGCCTTGTATTTAGGTTAATAAAGATGATTAGAGATGTATTGATGAAATCCCAGTGTTGCTGCCTGGCCTTCAGAAAGGGTGTACCTGTGCACACATGCTTTGCATCCCAGAAAAATAAGTCACTTAGAGTTAGCTTGAGTTTAAGAGATGGGCTAATGCTTAGCTTTTCTTTTTGAAAAGCAGGATGGAGAAAAGTATGAATTTTATTTATGAAGTGGAAGGAAAGTTTGTGGATACCTATCAATGCCTTGTACTTTGATGGCTAGTAATTGTAAATTCAGTTTACTAATCGGTCTCTGAGAAGCCAAGGAAAAGAGGGAGTTTGTAAAAGATTGGAATTTAAGAAGCTATTCCCTGTTTAGAAGGGACTGTCAAAATAGAAGTCTACCACAGGGCCAGTATGTTAGATACAATTCTAAAAAAGGTTCATGCACAACTAAATGAGTGCTGGATGAACAGAAACAGGGCAGTCTCACTCCCTCCTTTCTACTTGTATTGTGCCGACTTGATCTTTGGAATAGCTAATTTGCAGGCTAACTTGTTATAAACTACCCAAACTGAACTACTGCCAAATAAAAATCCTGCAGCTATTTATCATCAGATTTTTAAAATTTTTATGCAGATGAAACAGCTCATGAAGTGGTCAGATAAAAGTAATGATGTTAAAGGTAAGAGAATGGGCAGGAATGTGTGTAATTAGGATTGGGACCTGAAGATGCCAAATTGAACTGGTGTTACTATAGCCTTAAACTACATGGCTCTTCTCACATTAAGAATCTGGTAAGTACTGTTACTGTAGCATGTTTTGTTTCATGTCTCTCACTTTTGCTTAGCTGAAGCAAGACTTCAGTGTTAATTTTTACTGTAAATTATGCTGTATGCTCTACACTTGCTCCCCATAAACCTCTGTTGCACAGTTAAAGCAAATTGTTCCACATATATTAGCGTCATTAAGGTGCCTCAGTTTATGCTGATTTCATGGGAATCAGACACCTGAGCATCACATTGGAGAAGCATATCAATGCTGTTCCTAACATTATTTATCTAAATAAAGTGGTTTGATAAAATATACATTAAAATCCCTTCTGGGTAGAATGTCATGTAATAAATCTAATAAGACTATATTAATAAAAGAATAGTAAGACAGGAAATGACTTAAAAGCATTCTCTGCCAGTGGTAAGTTTAGCAATGAATTCAAGTAATTTACCTACTTAGACACACACGTTAGAATAGGGATGCTTTACACAGCAGTTAAGGTCACAGTCAGCTAGGGTGGGAAAGCTCTCATCTTTACTGTCTGTAATAGATTTAACCAGTGAATAAATGAGAGACAAAGATTTGCTTTCTGTGTAGTTAATTGAAGCCTCCTGAGTTTAAGTGCTATCCTGAAAGCTACAGAAACAAGCCATGAGGTATGGAAGCAGTGATTAGTAGTGCAGTTCACTACTTTTGCAAGAAACAAAGCTTCAACACTGCCAAGATCAAAATGGGACATAATACTTAACTGAGGACATGTAATCAAGCATTTTCGAGTATTATGCAAAATACTTCAATCCTCAGTTACTGCCATATGTAGGCTTTGTTGTGCAATTCAGGTGCTCAGCTGAAAATCTGTGCTGTATAATTGTTACAAGCAACAGATAAAAGAAACCTTTCAGCTATGTGCACGTACTATAGTAACATTTTCAGACTGTATTTTCAGATTGAAACTGAGTATATTCATATATACTCATATATTCATATAAGAGTATATTACTGCCTCAAAACATGTTGAATGAAAAGGCAAATTGATCCATTTCTGGGGATTAGAATTCTACATAGGTTTCTGGATGCTGATCTGCTACTAGGGGAATTGCCCTAATCACAGCATTCTATAAGAATGTTTAATCTTGGAAACTGTTTTTTTCATTTAGTTTCTTTGAAAGAGAGTACTGCTTGTTCCCCACTTCCCTAGGAACTGGTGTGACACAGCTTATTAAAACAAACTCGTGAACTGCTTCTTACTAGATTAGATATGAAGAGTTTTGTTTAATTACAGAGTATTTTCTGTTAGTTTAAAGGGACTCTATTCTTTGAATTTATTCCAGCATTAAAATTAAATAGAAAATTTTATTTTGATTTTCAGTATAATAGGGCAATTAAGTTATCCTAAAAGTACAGCACAACCAACAGAAGTGGTTCTGCTCCTGTGCCTTCACTCCACTGATGGTAAATCGTGCCGTAAGTAGTTTTCAGTTGGGTACACTTGCCAGAAACAAAGGAAAATGATAAAACTCTTTACTTGGCACCAGTGCAGCCATATACAGGCTTCATGTGGAATTTCAAAATTGATTGAAATGAAAAGACAAAATCTTGTTTTTAAAACTTAAAAGATAAAGAGACCAGGAAAATACAAACAGGTTCTGAATAAAGGAAATGATTAAATATTTAAGCAGCTCTACTCTAATGAGGCAATACTGAAATATACTTAGGTTTGAGTCTATTAAAGTGTGACTTTAGAGCAGTTAGTTCAAATGGTGCAACTAGGGCAGATAAAAATCTCTGCATGTATCGCCTACCCTGGAACTCTGGATCCTCCTGCCAAATTTACAGATGCTCAGCTCTCCAACAGCACCTGATGTTCATGTTTCCTATTTGGATATGCCTGTGTCACAGCGCAGCAGAACGTACAACCTGAGTATTGTGAGGGGCTGTTCGTGCAGCTGCACTTTCATCGGCGTTTGGGCACGATGCTCGTGCAGCTGTGCCACGTGTGCACTTTACTCAACAGCTCAAGCTGCTCTTTTTTCCTGTCCTTTCTTGAAACAAAGAGGTTAAGAGCTCTCTACTTCCAGTTTGTTCACACAATCAAAGTTATTCAAAAAATAATACCTGAGGAAAAATAGTTTTTTACTTAAATAAGTACTTTATCATGTAGCTCTTATAGAAGCTTGTTATTAAATGATTTTTAAGTTTAGATGAAAGCTGTGATAAGCCTTCCAAAACTATCTGCAAAACAACTGTTCTATGTACAGGCTTTCATTAAACTTCTTCAAGTACCATCTGCCTATGAAGGTAAGCATCATTAAATTTGTTTCCAGTAGTTAATGTTACGAATTTCCTCAGGAACAATATTTAAAGTGTCGGCCAACTTACCTGTGATGTAGCCTTCTAAAGCTTTTGGCACCAGCGATTTTGCAGTTCTTAGGTCCTCAGCAGAACATTTGCCTGCCTCAAGCCCAAAGGACATTCCCATTCTCTTCAGCACCTCACTGTCATCGTGAATCTCAAAAGTGTTATCAAAATTGAAGAGGTATTCAAATCTGTGTTTAAAAAGTAAAAAGGAGTTGGTTTTGAAAAGAAGCAGAGTTGTGATTTTTTTTTTTTTTTTTTTTTTTGTTTGTTTGTTTTTAGGCAGCAAGGTAGGTGTCTGGATTCTACAGTATCTGGTATGGGGTCTTAAAAAGTAAAAGTTGAGCATTTTTTTTTTTCCTAGCACATTTCCAGGGTTTAAAGTAGTACTTTCTCAATTAAATCAACTTTTCCATTTCAGGAAAATAGTCTAAACTTTTCTCCCTCATTAAACAGATTCAAAGGGGAAGAAAGAAGTCTTACTAAAACATTAACCTTCACTTGTACCAAATCCCATCTAAAGGTCATCTGCAGCCCTGTCACCAAAATAAGTGTTTTGTTTTTGCTTCTTTTACATTTCACTTTTTGTTCTAATCTGCAACACTCCTCCTGTGAACTGACCTATTTACCTTGGTATAACTTTGCTTTTTGAACACTCTTTTTTTTTTTTCCCCCCCAAATACGCAAACAGCTTATAAAGATCTGTGGTCAAGGCCCAGGATGTTCAAACCCTAGCATTTCTGTTGTGAGGCTTTCAAAATGTTTTTCACTGCACGTAGCAGTGGAAATGGTAATAAAAACTTGAGGGTACTTCAGCATCAGATGGTGCATCTAGACTAAATCGTCTTATTGCTGCCTTATTTCCCAATTCCTCCTTCTGCTGACAGATCCCTAGCTGTAGAAAAGTAATCCTGTCTTTAAAGATAACTTACTGGTGGGGCTTCCATAGCTTCCTCAAGCTACTGTGTCACATGAGAGTATTATTATTTCTTTTTAGTACCAATTTTGACACCTGCTCCAACTAAATTTGGCAAAGTTACATATGGTTGTATGTCTGTGCACAAAATGTGCATCTACTATGCACTAGGCATAGCAGGTACTACCTCTAGTACATGCTTTGTACTAGGTATAGCTGCCAGTTACAGGCATGCTTTGTTTTGCAGCTGAACTGTGATACTTGTATAACCTACACTGTTCATATAATCGATAGTTAATTAGGTTTAACCACATCAAAAGGGAAGTGTCATTATCACAGAATCTTTATGGTCGGAAAGGACCTTCAAGATTATGGAGTCCAACTGTAAACCCTTCAACACCCTACCTGGTGCTGCTAAGTTATCTCTAACGGTGTAGAGCTGTCACCAAGTACTATTAAGGTGGTATAAGAACATGAGAAACTTATGCTAATATCTCCTCAATATAGTTTTTAGCAACCTGCAACCTCTGACCTCGGAGGTCTCTATACTTCCATCTTTGTCCTTTAAAGCTATTTAAGGAGAGTCTTTAAGTGAGTTTACACGACCACCTTTTGAACCTCTGTAATTCTGGGGGTGTAATATTTAATGCTATGATTTGCATAGTTAAACTATCATAAAAAAGAACTTACATTCTTTTTCTATGAAATCTGCCACCTGATGTCTCCTACTTTTATATAACAAGTTTGAATAGCTGCTCTCTGTGCAGATACTGAGAGCACTACTATTGCATGAACCTCCATGAATCCACTGTCCTCTCTGTCTGGACCAGAGAGTCGGTCTGTTCCTTCTATGGAAGCCTTTTCATAGGTGAGACATTATTGCTGCCTTCTGGGTCTGTTTCCTAGTTCTGCCATACCTTTTTGCTAGTCAGCACCACATATCATATATGTAAATACACAGTATAATATATATGTAAAGTATAATATAGATAGCATGTATCTCCTTATAAGCTCCCTGTTTTTGTACTGAAAGCTTTAAGAAGTGCTTCATCTGCTTAAATTATGTTATTGCTTGCTACTTGCATTTTTTTTTCCTATTTGGATACATCTTACCTTATGGAAAGTTGTTGGCCTTCATTTGATGTCCTGCTCTGTGGTTTTTTTTTTTTTAAATTCAGAGTCCCCCTGATGCATATGTTTTTACCTTTTACATTTATGTTTTCTCCTTTCTTATCTTACCAACTTTAAAACCAGTATTCTCACTTCTCTCTTTTCGACCCAACTTCTGACTTCTATCCTTTTTGTCTGAAGTTTGTCTATTATTGTTTATACCAGTGTCAGCAATGTTGCCCTCAATGTGCTGTCTGGCATGTGTCTGCCTTTGCAAATACTAAGTAAAAGTTGTCCAATAAACTCTTCATTGCATATTCCAGAAATGTAATTCTGTTTTGGCTAGACTTAGGTAAGCCTTCCTAGGTATAATATTTTCCCAAGCAGTGATTTTCGCTGGGTGATTTTCTGTAGACAGGATTTTGACTGACTAATGCTGGGATGTACTGGGCCAACTGTTTGCTACTCGTGCTTCACCAGTACAGAGCAACCAAAAGTTTTACACATACAGAGTAACCAATAGTTAAAAGTTGTTTGGGAGAAGAAAAGGAAAACAACCGAGTCTGCCAGCAGTGGTGTGGGGCAGAACACAAGAGTTTGGCAAATTTTCCAAGAAATGGGAGCACTAGAATTCTCCGAGCTGGGTTAACAACTTTGACGACTGCCTCATTCAGCAAATCAATATGATAGTTGTTTAAATATTAGCAGTTTCTGGCACTGCTCATGTGCACGCTGCTGATGCCACTGATCAGTTGCACAAACACAGTGCAAATCAAAAATTTAAATTATTTCAGTGTGTATATTTTTAGTAGTAGTGCTTTCTTATAGTTTGTGACTGTAGATACATGTGCTGTATCTCTCCACATGGCCAAAGTTTTAGCTGCATCACTGATGCATTCAAAACTTCAGTATGACATTGTTTATCTTCTTGTTGACCTAAGACCATAGACCTATAGACCAGCATTTTAAACATGCACAGTGAGACTGATGTAACATATCTACAGAATAAGAGTATAGTTAAGTTAAATGAGTACTGCTATTTTAATTCCTAACTTGTTGAGTTTGAATGGTCGTGGGATTATTCCAAAAGCTCTGTCAGAATATACTGGCTTCAGTTATGTGTATTCTGCAACAATTTTGCTTCTACTGGGTAGTGCTTTTTGCATATTGGTGTTTAGGTAATTAAGGATTGTCTGTCTATTTTTGCTGTATCTGAATTTATTTTTTAGTAGAGGATTTGTATAGTACAGAAGGAAAGCTGTAGTTTGTAATATCTGAAATGAAGTTATTTTTCAGCTAATAAACTGTTCAGAAACTGCTAACACAAGTTAACATCATAATACCCCATACTTCTAGTCCTCCTTTCGCAGGATAGAGCACATAAGCACCCAGAAATACCTAAGTGGAGGAAAGATTTTCAGATCGACAGAAAAAAAGTAAACTATAGCAACAACCTGTACACTTACACTGGAAATGTTTCAAACTTCTGCATCAATTCCCTTTTTTCTTCAGAGACAGGTATAAAATGTTTGCTATTGAAAGATGTCAACCATTTCTGTCAAAATTGCTACTATTACTTCTATAAAGTTAATTTTATGTTATACCATGTATTTATGACTAAATAGACTTATGCTATTACAGAAGTAAGAATTCAGAAGCAGCAGTGTGTGACTTTATGAAAAGCTATATAGTGTGTATATAAATGACTTTGTACTATTTGTTGCCTTCAGTGTAGTGAAGGTTCCTTGAAATGTTATACTGAAATGCCTTCTACAGGAGTAAAAGGCAATCTGTCTTGACTAGGCATTATATAGTTGTATTTGTGTATAAAAACATACTTCAGTTTTTAAATATATAAAAAAATTGGAAGAAGTGACAGTAAGGGCCCAAAAAAAATAAAGAAAAACTTAAAATGCACAATTAATTTTAGTAAACTAATGAATTTGCTTTTTCAAATTAATATTCCAAAGGTTGATTCCACAACACACTCACTTATCACTTGATATGCTGCAGTCTATAACAGTTCTTTTGCTAGTGTTGACTATTAAGAAAGGCAGCTGTATTGTCGAGTTCAAAGCTGGAGGGCCTTGATTTTGCTGTTCATTTTGCTGATTTCTTTGTACCAAGTTTTTGAATGCTATTTGCTGTAAGAAAGAAAGAAAAGGCATTCACTGACATTAAAATGGAGACATCAACATTTCCAGGAATTGGGAATAGCTCTTGCTTGATCAAAAGTAGGTCCCCTTTGCACTGTAGGTGAAGCTGGCCTGCAGCAAAACAAGTTCACCTGTATTTTCATGCATACCCTAATGCCTACCACCCCCCTGCCACCCCGCCATCCCTAGGGAAGAAACAAGAATGCTGCAATAGAGTTTGGCAGGGAATGCTACCCTGCTCCTTTTCAAAAGGGTGTCAGACATCTTCTTTCTTAGTTTATATGCCTAATTAACTCAGACTAGGAGCTAGTTACACTTAAAAGTTAATAGGAATTAAGGCATTCCTGATCCACACTCTCTTCCCCATCCATTCCCCCTTTTCTCTCATTTAACTAGGTAGTTTTGAAATTCTCCCCTTTAAAATTTAAACAGGTGCCATTTATGACACCTCCTCTATTGGTCCATATATCTGTGTATGTACATATGAAAACATTTTATTTTAGGATTGGGCGAGTCTGTGTGCTGGCCTACAATGAGATATTATTTATTCCATTCAAGGGAATAGACAAATCATTTGACAGCGAACATAAGAATATAATGACAGTTGTGAACAGTGCAAATTGGTCATTTTCACATCAGGTACTTGAGGGCCTGACTTCACACAAAATTTTGACTGCATTTAAATTACTGAAAATGCACAAGTGAGGTGTATCTGAAATATATTTCTGCAACTTAAGCTAAAATTCAGATGATAGTCTTAAAGATTTTCTAGGTGCATATCAGAATGTGAGAGAGATGGATTTGCTCTCATTCATTCTTAGGAGCCAGAAATGTCTGTCCTACCAAAACTGCTTAGTATATGTTTAACAAAATTAAGCTCTAGAATTCTTGGCTTAGAACAGCAGAGAATTTCTAACAGGAACTAGTCAGCGAAGTGCACTAGAGCACTTTGCAGTGTTCCTGTGCTCACAGTAGATCCTGCCTACTATGTGGGTAATGATACAGCCTCTGAGAAAAGGGGTTCTATTCAATACAATGAGCTGTTTTACAGCATCTAAAAATAAACCAAGAAGTGAAATGCAGTTAAGATGTCCCCATGCCAGCTGCCAGAAAGGTCACCTCTAAAACATTTTCTCTCCAGTATATCATAATTATTAATTAAATTGAGAAGGAACTTTAGAATTTCTAACGTGATGGATTCATACTTCATAATTTTTTATATATATACACCCATTTTTTATAGAGAGAAATATGCAAAATACAATTAAATGTACCTGCAAAAGCAGTTCTTGTAGCTGGGCTCTTTTCTGTTTTATTCGTTCAATCCGCCTCTGTTTCTCTATCTTAAAAGAGAAATGTAAATGCAGTAGTAATTAGCAAATTTTCCTTGCCCACTTTGCTATGCCAAATTGTTTGGCTTTAAAGCTACCAGTGTGCCAGCACCATTAGTGAAGTCTCCTCTTCCCTTTGTAAATGACATGAGCTCCATGGCATGGTAAGTAAACTGCAAATGTTTTTCAGCCGACAACCATTTGTCACATTTTCTTTCCAAATGGACTCATCATATGATCCACTTTTCCAGACAACTAACCAGATCTTTCCTGCAACTTTCTAATGCTGGACTGTGAAGTTACAGGTGATTTCCACCTTTTTTGCCTTTTCATTTGTGATTTGATCAAGTTGAAAAGCTTTCACCAACAAAGCATGAATGAGGAAAAACATTTGCTTCGTCTACACCAGCACAATGTCACTTCCTTACAGCACCTGCAGTAACACCAATGTACTGGGCAAAGCTGCCTTCAACATTTGCAATGGTAATGATGCTGCAGCCGCCCTGACACGGCCAATACAACCAGCTGCGTTTCCAACAGCCGCCTGCAGACATGCTGAAGAGCTGAGCGTGTTCAGGAAGGACAGTTAGGCATCTTGCTCTACAGATGCTCTTCATGTCCTTGTTGCTACCAACATTGTATCACTTAACGACTGAAATGCTTTCTTCAGAGCACCGTGTATGGGTTTCTCCACTGGGACACACACGTAAGTTGATACCTTACACTGATTTTTAAGAAAATTAATCTTTTCATTTACACACCATGAAAATGCAGCTTTATTTCGTAACATGTCACAGAAAGCAACTTTTTAAGAAAATCTGCCCTACTACCCTTTTTTGCATACATCGTTGAAGCCTGAAACAGTGAATGGCCCGTGATCACTGCAGGTAACACAAAGGAATTTAAGTTTATTATTAATAACACTAACCTATACTAGGGATAATGCATTCCCATGAATGCAGGTGAAGTGAAAATATATCAATCACTTGAAAACAAGCAACCAGAACCCACACATGGTGTGCAGCCATCAGCCACACACCCCCCTCCTTGGGTCATTTTCCAAGCTGCTGTAACAGGCAAGATAATAACGGCATCTTTCTTAGTGTGCACGGAACAACAGTAGGTACCTTCTGAGGTACCTGACGCAACCCGAATCCCCAGTCAACCACATACAGCCTATATTTCAGGACAGTCATTACAGCACTGTACAGTAACTTATTCTTTGCACGTATGGACCATTTGCCCTGAAGAACAAGCAGCATTTCCGCATATAAAAGCTGTCAGTCTTGCAAAAGGGGTAACTTTTAGTATGCTAGGAAAAAAAACAGTGGAAAACTTTACATTTTCTCCTGCTAGTTTGTAACTTATTTGACATTCTAACAATTATTCTTAAATTCCATTTCTTTTTAATGGCGTCTTCAAGCACATGCATTAATTGCAAAACAGGCTTCCTTTGCATATATATGAATTCAGCATAACTGTACAATAAATTTTAATTCTTTTATGTTTAATTCAGGCTTCTATGAACTTTATCCCTGACTTAATTAGTGCCCATTTTTTATTAACAGGCTTTAAAACTTATGTAGTGTAAGCTAAGTAAAACTGAACTACATAAGCATAGTATTTCAAATCACTGAAATATTAAAAGCAATTCTGAGCAGTATTATGAATATATCATTCATTATGAACATATCATACCATTATCACTATCCATCAACTATACAGAATTTCCCATCTACCTCACTTACCTCTAGATTCTGACATTCCTGAGCTGAGTTTGTAGGAAGGCCAATCCAGCGGATTTCCTTTTTCTCCTTTGAAATTATGTTCATTGCCATCAGTACATTAAGAGCATCATAAACTCTCCGTCTAATATTTTTCTGATCATAAGCCTGCTAAGAAAACAATGCAGTATTAATTATGAGTATGCAAAAAAAGTTACAAGAACTGAACCCTTCGTTCATAGATGAGTAAAACACAGACAGAATGGCAAATAAAGTCAGAGTGGCAGGCACTAAAACATATAGCTCCATTCATAGGATGTTCTGGACCCCACCTAAGCATGTTTACTTGCAAATGAAAGCCTGAACCCTGCATGAAACCACTGTGCAACAATTGCCATTTTGTTACAGTTGAAAAGACTGTCAAGCCCTTATAGGGTAAATATGATGAGTTCTATTCTTTAAGTGAATCTTTGGGCAGACATTTTTATCTTATTTTGGTGCAGACTCCTCTATTAACTTATAAAGAGTTCAATTAGGTTAATTCTACATCTTAAAATTTTACATATATATACACTTAGAAAGAGATGTAAAATAAATGTATTTTTACAAACACACACACACACACAGAGTCTTAATATCTGGAATATAGACAAGAGAAGACAGCTACAGAGCATAGCAGGACAATGGAGAAGCAAAAAAGGGGCAAACATTCCATGATAAATTGGCCACTTTTGCAATGATATAAAACAAATTTCACCACACATTTACTTACCGAATCCGCAGCTAGGTGGCTGTTAGAATTTGTGAATTCTGATACCAGCTCATCAGCCACTTCATTATATGAAGTTGTTCCTTTACGTTGGACTTTTTCACATACTTTCATTGAAAAATGCCTCAGTCCTTTCCCATTTTTATCTCCTTTTTTGCTTCTCTTACTGTAAAGAGAAAAGTAATTATTTAAATATGTTGATTTTTAGTAAGCCTGTTTGGTACCTAGGTCTTTTCTCCATTTGCTGCACTTTCCACAGTATCATTTTTTTGGATATATTCTGCTGGGTAAATGCTAAAAAAATACATGTAAATCATCTCAAGGTAGTGACACAAAAGGTGGGAAAATCTCATGGGGGGGTCTTATGTGCCTGGAATAATTGTGATGTTTGTGCATAAAACAAAAGGGCTCAGATATCACTATTTATGCTACAGCAGAAGCCACCTTCAGTCAGTTCTACTGACTTATGTTTAATATCTGTGCTGTCAATCAGTTAAGACTGACATACAAGACTGTTTTTAGAAAGTAGGTACATGCTCATGAGCTCTCTGGTGCCAAATTCATGACTGCCACTTGTCAGGGTTATTTTCTGCTTTCTTCTCGCTCTAAAAAAGATGAGCCAAAAAAAGGAATGAAAAATATATGCTCAACAGTTTCATCACATCAACTGGAGTATGAAGTGGGCTCATAACTGAGGCATAGTATATAATGCAGTACTACAATCAGGTAGCAGAGAGTCTTAAAATTATTTTAAACCAATCATGCACTTTCCCCCTATTCCTAACAGAATATTTTCCAACTGAACCATGTGCTGCAGATGCTCAACTCTGTTTTAATAGTAGAAATATTTAGAAATCCAATTTGTTTTCACAACCTATTTTTTAAAATCTGAGAAAGTCATATTTTATAAAGTCCATTTAATTTTCAGATGACTGTAATTTGGGCATGTTTCCATTGCAGATAACTTTTCTGTTAAGTTTTGCATTCTTACTGGAGCTTTTTATAAAAATGGAAACAAATTGCTATAAATAGTAGATATAAACAGCTTGGTAATCAGATGTTTTAGATTCTACAAGTTAACATAATTAAAAATCATCAGTATAAATTAAGGAAAATGTTAAAGTACAATGGAAGAATTGCTTGAAAAGGGAGGACTTAGAGACTGGGGCCTAACAGAAGTTTGGGCTTTACAAAAGCTTGCTTGGGAAAAGACAGGGCTGCCCCTTCCAGGATGGCTGGTTTGCACGGATGCTGCTCCCCCGGCAGCACAATTTGTCCTCCTTGCAGTTGCCATGAGGCTGCCCAACTCTGCTGCACTCCCTGTCGCTGACTGGCTGCCCAGTAGCCACCCAAAGGGAGATACATGATGAGATGGCCAGTGCTGAGCCAGCGAGGGGGGCAAATCACTCCTTTTGGGTGAACTTTGCTTCAACTTTGCTCATTTGTAAGCTCATTATAATGTCAAAACACACGTCCATCCCAACAGTTTCCCGCTTCTGAGGCCCAACCACTCCTCACTGAGCATGTGCTCTAGATTTTCAACTGACTGCACCTTTAAATGAAAGCCAGAGACTTTTCACCAATCAGTAACAACAGTAAGTAGGACTACAGTCACTCAAGCTCCATCTAAGTGTTAAAAAAAAAAAATACAGAGGGTGAACTAAGGAAGGAAGAAATGAGAGGGAAGACTCCATCATTACTTCTGAATCAGTCGCCAGGCTGAACTGCTTTCCTCCCCACGGACTGGGATACCACCTGAGGAGACTTTTGGAGACTGAGATCCCTCTCCCATCTCCTTGGGTGAGTGATGATTGCACGTTTGTACATCAGAGTTAGCTAAGAACCTCATGCTGTAGTAGAGAATTTGCTGTACTGACATCCGAAACTTGCTTTGTAACTGTTGCATTTGAATCATCCTGCTATTCATGAACTCGACTCCTTGTTTTGAAGGTGTTCGGACCTACAGTTGACAGTGTTTGTGAATCCGGTGCTGCTGGAGTCGGATCTGTAGCTCCCACAGTATTTGATATCCCTATTAAGAGATGAGTCCAGCCACCTCCAGTCCCTCTAACCTCTTAGGATCAGCTGGAACACAAGAGGAGTCATCTCGTACCATATATATCCACCTTTCAAACTGCAACAAGAACCTAGCAGAGAAAATCCTCTGAGGATCTTGTTCACAAAGGCTGAACAACAGAACATCTGGACCTAGTAAAACAAACTTGTCTTCCAGTTTGAGCACAAGTACGTTTGAAGGTGTGTTAAGTTTTAAATTACTGTAATGTTGATGACAGTTAATACTACATCCATTTTTTAAACAAACTCAAGGTCTGAACTTTATTTAAAATGACAATGTCATCTGTTCTATTGCTTCAAATTTACTGTAGAGTACACAGATGGGAACATCTATTTTTCTGGTCTTCCAACAGACAAAAAGGCCCAACAGATAAAACTAAATGAAAAGAGTTAGAAAGCTGGGTGCCTTCTTCAAGTGAGTTAGCTCTAGGGAAATACAGTTTTTTGTTACAGAATTATTTTTCACTGTATTACTTCAAGTCCTTATTAAGATTTAAAGTATTTGAATCTGATATGCTCACATTTTCTTTATAATTATGCATCGTACTGAGGCATTATATTAGCAACATAGCAAAAGCCAGTCAGTACCTAAATAACTGCTAGAACAAGTGAGACTGTCTGAAAAGTTTCAGTCTTGACAATGACAGTAATATGGGAAGCTGGAAGCAAAAATACCATAAGCCAAATTCGTAAGTTACACTACATAACAAATCACCATTCTCCTTGGCATTTTTAAACAAATAAAAATTGCCCATTATGTCTCAGCAGAAGCATTTAAAATGCTCAGTTGAAAGTAAGTGGTTTGATGGTATGCTTCAGAGAGACCTATAATTTTGCAGAAACAGAAAATACCAAGTTCTCCCTTGTTTCTGCAAGTTTGAGTTCACAGTGGTGTTAGAAGAGTTGCAAAAGTGCATCAAAAGGCAAGAGCAAAGCTTGGTACTGTCACCAGTAACAAGCTGAAAACATTAAAATATAGGAATGCTTTTGAAAATTTCAAATTTATCTCAGAAAAAAAAAGAACACTGGGGAAAAAAGGACAGGACAAAAAGAAGAGTGGAAAAAAATAGCCCATTTTTTACGAAGTCTAAATCCTATGCAATTAACACTAGTTTGAATGGTTTCTGGTAGGTAAACAAATTAAAATATCCTGAATGGATTCAGAGTAGCTCTGGAAACAAAGGAAAAGGATTATTTGTTTACCATTATTTGTTACACTGAAAAGTTAGCACAAAACCTTTCTGAAAAAGTGTTCTTGTTGTTTTTCCACGATTCCAATTTGGTCTGTAAATGTCAATGTATTTGTCATAAAGCACTAAACCAAGTGAGTAATGAATAATGTATGTTACACAAGGTAACATACAACAGGATAACATACAACACACGAAGTCACAAAGTGAAAACCGGACACCCTTGTTTCCGGAGCAGCTCTGCAGAAGCAAGCCAGGTAGGACTGGTCATATACTCCACACATGCTCAGTACCACTCACCTTTCTGAATAATCTGATTCTATAAATTCTCGAGTCCGTTTTCTGTCCCTAGAAGATAATTAAATTATCAGAGACAGGTGCATACATTTATTTTAATAAAATCTATACATTTGGTGGCTAGCTAGGTATTAGTATTTACTCTTAAATGTTCACTGAAAAATAGCACAGGAACAGTTTGACAGAATTTTTGAGAAGAAAAAGTTATGATTAGAACCAGTCTCAATTTGAGAAGTCCTGCCAGTGGACCTCTTCCTCTGTAGCAAATTGCCATTTTTCCTCCCTGGCAAGCTCTGTCCATGGTACTCAGTGTCACACTGCGGACACTTGGGCTATGAGCAGAGCAGGGCTGGGGCTTGTGACCTGGAGAGGCAGTGGCAGGAGAGCTGTGAGCCAGGCTGCCACCCTTCCTAAGGACTCCTGACTCCTCACCATGAATGGGACCTCATCTCCTGTCACTTTGGAAACTAGTAAACAGCACGGAGCAGTCTGGGCCTGTACTTCCTCTGGCACTTCATCAAGGGCTAGAGCTGGTCAGGTCAGATGCTATCACAGGGCCTTCCCACCCTGGTTGTTCAGGTGAAAATATGATCTGTATTATGGAATTCTGTGGGGATTGATAATGATCAGCCAGCGTGTTTGGAGAACATCTTGCTCATTTCCCAGGGGAAAGCAGCAGATGGGTGCACTGCAAGTACTGAGCCCAGCCTGAGAGCAGCTGAATAGAGGGAAGGGATTTCTCCTTGCTTCTGGTGGGCGACCTACTGCAGAGACTGGCTCCCCACCTACACCTCTGGGTTGGGTGACGCTCAGGGGAGCCAATGGAAGCAGATTAACTGGTTTTGCAAGCTGTGAGCTGACACTATAACTTTCTCCGCATTAAGGTATTCACAAAACAAAGCTGTCTGACTTCTTTGTCACGTAAGAATCAAAGTGGATTCAAAAACTGTTTGCAGAGATACACACCCTGACATAAGCCCCCTTTTCCAAGGAAAACCACATTTAAATAGCACTTAACTGGTAATGCAGTTTACAGATTCTATTCTCTGTGGTAGGAACAGCAACTTTGAAGTGAATAACAGACTCTACTTAAAGCACAGGGTGAAGAGGGTCAAAGTACAAACATTATGCTCACATTTCGACCATTTCCTAGATGCTCCATTTTCCTACCTATAAAGATGGAAAGGCACTACTGATATCCATCACTGATTAAAAAATGACCTAAATGTGGAAATTACTTTCTAATTTTCAGAAGCACAGCACTACTCTTGAGATAGGTAGGTTCAGTAGTACTGGAAGTCAAAAAATGTGAAATATTGCAAAGACCAGATTTCCTTAGAAGAGTTAAATACATCACATTACTCTAAAGTATTTCAGAACACTATGAAAACTTGGTGATTGTGTACAGTAGTAACAGACACCACTCATTATGTTCAAAAGTTGCCATTAAAGCATTATTCTTAAATGCCTCCTGAAGCATGTTTGATAGCTCTCCCTTTGTCGGTACCAATGACTTGCTCTATAGTAAAACCACTTGCATATGTCATTAATTTGTGAAAAAAAAGTAAAAGCTCATCAACTTGTGCCTCTCCATGACCCCACAGACATTGCCATAAAACTGAATTAAAACAGACAGTAACGTGACTGGTGCCTGTAACCCTGTGTTCACGCATTCCAGACATCTAAAGTGCAGAACGTGCTAAGACTGTGCTCCTTTTGGGAGAACAGCAAGCCATAAACCAACACAAGAGTGCAAACAAAGGGCGAAAAATGGAACAGATCTGCAAACATCTTTAAATAAAACAAACTCCTTACCCTGGAACCCAGCCAGTAGCTTCAGTTATGTGTGTCTGTGTGACCATTGTTGGAGCTGGATTATAAGGACTCCCAATCAGAACACTCCCTGAATTGGTCAGTCTTTGTGATGTGCTTATGATCTATGGATTTTTTGGGGAAAAAAAAAATCTTTTAAGAAAATAGAGGCTAACACAACCAAAATTCATACTAATCATTGGTTCTGAGAAAGGAGAGAGAAAAAAAAAAAAATTTCTGCATCACATGCAAACTGCTGTTAAATATACTGAAGAGATGTCATCAGATCTTCATATATGACATTAAAATCTTGTCAGGTTAAGGATTTTTCCTACCTGTATCTTATTATATTATTCATTTAAACCAGATCTAGACAAATTTAAATAACTACTAGGCATTAGGGTCAGGATTTGTATCTATCTATATCTAATTATTTATTGCAGAAAAATGTAGGTGATTTCTTATTCACTGGAATTAATAAAGTCTTCTTTCCAAAGGATGTGTGTCTTACAATTGTCTGTCTTTGGTATCAAAGAAAATCAGAGCTCCAAGTAAAATACTCCCTGCAGTTTCTACCGTTTACAAGACCTTCAGGCATTTCTGCAAGCTAATAAAATGACTTGTCTCATCTATGTTAAATACAGCAACCTGTTGGGTTTAGCTAAAAGAGTAAGGCAGATTAAAGTGACTGGCATCTATTGCAAATATGCACTGTTTGTGTAGCTTCCTTTTAGTACAGACAGGTTTTAAAATATGTTTAATCAGATCTGGTGGAACTCTATTTGAATGGTTGATAACATCAAAATTCTTGGTCTCAATTTTTAATCTCAAGTCTCTCCTTAAAATAGGTCTCCAGAAGAATTCAGAGAGTACATACAAATGAAACAGTATTGATCAGTTAATGTTTAAAATATAAACTGCAAGTTCTTTGTGTCAAAATGGTAAGATTTATAGGTTTCTGCAGAAAGCTTTACAGTCAGTTTGTATTTTCTTTACTCCATATGTTAGCATTTTGAATATCAACCCCATTAAACTTTGCATCCTTCCTTTACTACTTAACATATCATGTACCCATATGAGTACCTGGCAGATACATTGTTTCAAATCGATAGACATTCATTTAAACAAGTAGAAAACACGGTATCCACCTGAGGGATTTCCAGATTTCTCACCACACAGAACATGATTTTACACCCTTCTAATGCTACACTGTGGCTACACTCCTATTTATTGTTTTCTGAAGAAACTAACTTATATTATTTTGCAAAGAGCTTAACAGATAGAGACAAATAAAAACATAAAATAACAGGAAACACAAAACACAGGTTACATATTTGCTGTTTTAGAGAACAGCAGATCCCCCAACTGGTTGCATTTTCACACTGTATGGAAGCACAGGAAGGGCATTAACCTCTATCAACCTACACCTACGCTAGCTTAAAAAACAGGTATTTTGTGGTTGGATGGTTAATATTAAAATGGATCTGAAATTCAGCACTGCTATCACACCAGAATGTAAACAAGAATTGGTAATGCAAAATATCAGGTAAACATTAATCCAGTCCAGTACCTACTTATATTAATTTCTTGCAATACTATGAGCAAGGTTTATTTTCAGTAAGCATATGGTTTTGCCAGCATGTGGCTGACACATCCCAGAGAGAAAACATTTTAAGCATATTGCTACGGAAATGCAGTTCAGCACATTCCCTAAGGCCTCACATTCCTCTACTGGGTAAAGTACGTGCAATTTTCCTTTAAACCTCGAGGCGAATGTCCCCCAGGCGCCCTTTGCGTGCGCCGGGCAGTGGCGTGAGCGGCGCTCGCGGCAGCCCCTGCGCCGCCTCTTTACTCCCCGCGCGCTGCAGCGCCACCCAGCGGCAGCGGCGGGCGCGGCCCCGCCGCGGCTCCAGCGCAGCGGCCGCTTCCGCCTCGGTGGGGCCGAGCTCGGCGCTGCCGCCGCCTCAGCTGCACAGAATGCCGCGCTTACTGTCCTCTGAAATGGCACACTCGGGTACTTTCAGGGACTCATTCCATTTCTGATAGGCAGAAATTTTCCAATGCACCTAAAGTAATCACATAAATTCGTGGCTTAAGATAAACATGAAAAAATCTGATATCCTAATTCTGCAAAGTGTGAGAACCCCTGCAGGATGTAGCACTTCTTTTCAATCAATAATACTGTGCTGTTGCATTCACTTGTAGAGCCTAATGGCTATTACAGTGGTGCCCTGCCCCAGCTGCAAGGCTGGGTCCTAGCACAGGAGAGGCAGCAAGGAGATGCACCAGCAGCGCACCTGAGAAGCGCTCACCGCCAGACTGGCTCCTTGCCGTTCCTAGCCAGCACTGGAAAGCGATGGCCAGTTGCAGCACACACGGGGACATGGTCAAGGCAACCCTCTGACACTAACACAAACCCCAACTACAAACTTTAGTCCTCACCAAGTTTTATTGAATCTAACGCAACTACAAGAAGCACCAGTTAAGGACACCTCTTAGAAAGCATGTTGAGCACCGTGTGTTAACGAGCACATGCCAGCCTCTTCCAATGGATTTGCCTGAGTTTTTCACGTGACAAAAAGTCACTGGAATGAACTGATGGCAACTAGTTTTCTGTAGTGTTATTCAAATTAAAATTAGTGTCAAAGTGACTTTTCAAGTCAGAGTAGTAAGCCAAGATAACATAGGACAGTTTTATATCAGCTGAACAAAAACTGTATGTTTAATATAGTTTAAATATATATATGTAGCATGTTAAATGGCACTACTTTGAAATAAAATGTGGCAAAAAGAAGCAAAAAAACCTTCTTTAGCAAAAGAAGCAAAATTTGATATAAAGTATGTTGGTAAGCAAAACCTAACTGGAACATCTTAATATAATGAAGAACCAGCCATTAATAACTAAAATGATTTTTGAAACAGAAATATTAAGTGAAATTCATATAAGAAAAGTAAGTTTCATAGGCACAAGAAAGTTATTGTAAGTCAACTAGTGTAAAAATTCTAATGAATTTTGTGAATTTGCAATCATTACATTGTTCATGTTTTATCTGCTGATAGGAGATTTATGAAGTTACTAGTAAGACACGGTTTTAAATTAGTTACAAACAACTACTAAAGTTACAAAACAAACAAACCCACAAACTGCAGAGCCAAATTATCTGTTCTCAAGAACCATTCTGATCTGAGAACTAAGCTAAAGTTTCCAGAGATGCTGGAGATCTCCAGGAACCTGCCAGTTTAAAGACAACAGGACTTGTTGAATACTATTTGTAAGAACATTTTGATGAATGTGAAGATGTAAAACATGCCTGCCTTAGGGACATGACGTTTTCTGTAACAAATAGTATCTACCTGTGACAAAGTTCTGAAATAAATTCCTCTATGAATGTTTGAAAAAATAAAGAGGGGAAAAACATTATCCCAAATCCAACTGGGGTAAAAGCCATTGCAGAACAGCAACGATTTGTATTATAAAGAAGACCCACAACAACACAACGAATATTTCAAAAACACACCCAATGGTTCCAATGGTTCTTGCATACAGGCTAAGTGCATTGTAGACAGGCCTCTGGTTACCCAAAGCAGGTCCCTGTACTGCCTGTTCTGTCCTCTGACCACCAGCAAACTGAAAATGTTTCTCAAAACCATCTCTTTAGTGGCTATACTGTCATAAAGTTACCTCAGCAGGAAAAGACAGTTCTAAGAGGAGTGGGTTTCAACAAGCTAAATCTCTATGCATGTATCAGAAACATTTAGTCTTTGGCAACTCTGGAGATTTCAGTGAGGAGATGGCATCAGTGACATTCTTCATGAGATTTTTTTGTTTCATATTGAGTCAAAATTAATTTTGAATAATAGGTAAAAATGTGAGCTGGTGAAATTGCCTATTTTTGCATGATGAATTTCCACCCAAAGCCAGGAAGGTAGGTATGCTTCAAGTCAAGTCAACACAGACTGCTTGTTGGGATCAGCAGTTCCAGCATGCCGAGGTTGCTGCACCTGCACGTCACTACATCTCCACTAAGACGGGGAGCTTTAAACTGCTGGGTAGTTTCTGCAGCTGGAGCACGAAGCTGTGAGTTCCTAGCACAGTTCACATCTCCATTTTCCATGTTTCTACATTACATAAACAGGTCATGCATCTAGTTACACTAGTTTAGAATTAGCAGAGTTGCAAAACTTACCATTTGGGGTCCAACATTCACATTTATTGGTCCTAGGGTTTTTGGCAAAATCTTAGTTGGAGAGTTGGTGCTGGAAACTGGTAGCGTAATTATTGAAATATTACCTTAAAAAAAAAAAAAGAAGTGATAAAAAAAAAAGGAGTTCTAAATTACTTCCTTGGACAGTAACCCATGAATAACATTTTGTTGTATTCTCAGATACTTTTAACAATTTGGAAGCAGGTTAACTTCTTCGTCCTGTACACTCACAGAACAGCCACCAGACCTTTTAGCAGATGCTCAAGGATATCTCGCAAAATCATAAAACTTCATTATTTTCCCTTAAAAAATTACAAGTTACCATGGTATTTCCATAAACAACTTCCTCTTGCTTAAGAGGCAGTGCAAATAGCTTGCCATGCCTCAGTATTACAACTCAGTATTCAGGAGTTTACAAGCAAGCTCGTGTACTTATTTATAATCATGTGCTGTGGTAAAATCTGCAGCCATAACCACTGCCCATCTGACCATTCTTAAGTTTGACAACTGTGAGGCAAGACAGCTTAGGGTCCCACTCTGCAGATGGTGTAACCGAGGCTTTTATAACCTGCTTAAAATAACAGAGCAGGCAGCTGGGTGTCAGGATAAAGCCAGTTGTCTAGCCCATCTCCAACCCAGCCTGTGTCCATCACGAGTTTATCATCTTTGGGATCTTGGACTGCCTCAGGATCTATTTTATCCTCCCTTCACACAGAAGAGCAAAGTTCAACCTCTCAAAGGTTGTTGAAAGTCTCACAAATGGTGGTAAATGAAACTGTCATGCAGCACCCGCCATGCTGCAAGTCCACAGTTTCTCAAGTTGTTCTCACAAACTACTTGAAACTACCTTATTTACCCAAGGACATTGTGGCAGCAGTAGCAGTTCCTACCTCTACGACAGTTTCAAAGAGGGCTGTGAATATTGCTCAGTTTATCAAATACCTCCCCCCATTCTTAGGCAAAATCTGGTTCAAAATTAGAAATTACTGATAAATCTGGAAACAGAACCAAGGAAGAGAAAGAGCTGCTACTACCTCGCAACCCACACAGAGCCAGCGTGGGTTGAGCTGGCACTGTGAGCCACGCGGATGAGTTCCTGCAGAGCTCCTGAGCTCTCTGGAAGATGCAGGCCATGTGCACCCGAGGGAAGGGGTTTGTTCAGAACAGTGCAGCCATGGACGAGTCCCTCCTTCCTGTCCTCCTCCTTGTGCAGCTTCATCCTGAAGGACCCAAACCGGCTCATGGTTTGCAGACATCTCTGCACCTTACTCTTTTCTGATAACGGTTTTCTTTTTCACTTCCTGCTTTTCTCCTTTCACTTGGTCCTGAACCACTGTCATTTTTTTAATTTAGCATAGCTATGTTCTGCCATATGTCTAAGCCCAATAAGACAGCAATACAATTTATCTGTTTCTACTAAGCAGAAGCAACACAACTGGGACAAAAAGAATGCTTAACAACAACAACAAATCTTCATTAGTTACAACACAAAAATAAGAGTTAAATGAGAATTGCAGTATCTTAAGAAAAAAATACAGATATTAGAAATACTAAAAATGTGAGACAATAAGGTCAATATTTAAATGATCTGTAGAAATTTCTTTGATGTCTCGAGCAATAATCTTCCAAAAGGCAGATCTGCATCTGCAAGTATCTTAAAAAGCTCCCTGAAAGTACTGAACAATCTTCTATTTCCCAATTTATTCGACCACCTAATCTAGGTAGATAAAAGCTTGTGAAGTACAACCTCATAGCAAATCCTAACTCTAGTAATGAAATACCTTTTCTGAGGTAGTGACAGAGTAAGCAAGATCCCAATAGTTTACAGACACTAACATTACTTTACAGATTTGCATGCAATGATTTCACATTGTTAGCTCCAAACAGTTCTCTAAACTGACTCGCCACTTTTTTAGAAAGTTCAGCTTAGCATCTCCCAAGTTCTGCTTGCACATCCTCACCAAAATCTAGTAACCCTCTCACTACAGACTGCTGTGGTAACTGATGTTGTCCATCACTTTCCAGTTACCGCTGTAGGAATTTTCCTCTTCGCTGCTATAGGAATTTTCCTCTTTGCTCATTTGACCCTTTTTCCTCTGATATCATCTCAGAACATCGCTCACTGATGTATTTTTGACTAGAGAAAAGAAATGCCTGACTTTCTCTGGTACGTACAACATGTCTATAAGGTGGCATCTAACATTTTGAAATTTTAGCATTTAGCTTTAAATTCCAGTATTCATTGGGCTGCACCACACCACGATCTTCAGCAACTTTAGTTCTGAAGGCTTTAAACAATGCCTTTAGTCAGATGCTGCACAAACAGCAGGTCTTAAAAATGTCCATCACATGGGCACCAAATCTTCTCATGTTTCACGGAAAAACAGAACAGTGAGAAGCTGAACACAATGCAACCCACCAACTTCATAGTCAATAGTAATTTTATCACATAGATGGAAAACATTAGGACAGGCAGATCCAACTAGGATAATTTGGTCATTAACATTCAGTTCTTATATATTTCCTAGCAGTACTTATGAAGTACAAAGGAGTTGTTATTACTATTTTACCTATGGAAAATTAAGCACATGGTAAAGACTCTCACTTAGACTCTCACTTAGACTTTCTGTCTGACGTTTTATGCATAATATGTAGGAAAACACCACAAACTGAGCACATCCATCACTTACACACACGAAAATCAGGACCTGCTAGTGGATATACGGAGACTTCTCTTAGAACAAAGGCACTTTCCTTGCAGACACATTATTTTACCATCACTCAGAGCAAACTATGTTGCTGTGCTTTCCTATATAGAAAAATATAATCATTATGTAACTATTATGCTTTGTGACATTTGAGAAATTTTTATATGCATACACATGGAATAATTCCATTTATACAATCATTACTTCAGGCAGTCAGTAGGGAACAAAGTTACTCATGTTTACATACATGTTCCCTCACATGCACATACTAGCAAAATATCCCACAAGACTATGTCTAGGCACTGCATCCTAAATACCTTGGCTTCACACAAGGAACTCATGTAAGAGTAGGGAGTTAGAAGGATTTTAGTGAATTGTTTTTTTCTTTTTCTTTCTTGTTCCTTTTTTTTTTTTTTTTTTTTTTTTTTTTTTTTTTTTTTTTTTGTACAAGTCCATCAGGTCTGCAGCTTAGCTGCAAAGATAATCAGAAGCCATGTCCATCTGAGAATCTAGAGCACCTGTCAGAGGTGGTTTAAAGGAAATGATAGCTGATGGGAAGCACAGATCAACCTGGGTACCATGTAAGAACTATGCCAACAAAAAGTCTTTGAATTTTTAGACAATACATCAAAGAAGTTTGGATGATTTCTATTTAGTATTCAAAGCTCAGAAACAAACATCCACTTACTAATTACAACCTGGAAGACCTCTTATGTAAGAAGAACAAACAGTCATTTCAAATTTAAACAGCATGGCCTACTCTTATGACAAAGAAAATGGCTCCTAGTTATGAAATAAGTGAAATACATTAGGGCATTTTGCAGTAATATATATGATATTTCTTCATGTTCTTCTATTAAACTAAAACAGTTCTAACTGAGTTTAGAAATCAGGATGCAATATTATAAAGCATACAAAAAAGCTAGATATTAACATGTAAGTATATTTTCCAATACATTTCCTCATTTGATTTTTGCACAAAGTTACAAACATAATTTTAAATATTCAACAGACAGTAGGAATGCACACGCGTGCGCACACACATATATATATATAAATAAAAATAAATATATGAATGAATATATGGAATTAAAGATACCCGCAGGAATGGGGAAAAAGAAAAAAAGAAAAAAAAGGACTAGATGGTATTTCAATGTATTTCAGCTTTACACTAAGTTTTCAGTTGTTTGTGGTTCAATTTGGTGCAAGCTTACAGGCAGCAGAATCTCATGATTCTCAAAATACCAAACTTGGGCATATCGATAAGCAGTGCTGCTATCTTTGCCATTTTAGCAGAACTCTTTAAATATAAAATGAACTCCCAGGGCTTTCTGGACTCAAGCCAATACCCCTGAGCTCCTGGTCAGATATTCAGCAGCACTAAAACTCATGCTAGCCAATCTCATCACCAGCATTCAGTCCAGCCTCCAAGCCAGCACAGTGGCTTTACGGCTTAGCAGAGAACTTGCTTTCTTGGCCTTTTGTGAGTGAATGACAGGCATGTTTTCCAGCTCAGTCTGCCCTCTGATCCCATGAACCACCTCCGCTATAGCCCCACACGCAGCTACTTTGGCACAAGGTAAAGGACAATGTAAGAGCATCTGGGAAGGGGCCAGAACCAACTTAAACTGGCTGAAAAGAAATGCCTACTGTCAGAAAAGAAATGTCCATCAAACCTTATACCAAGCAAGAACTACTCAAAATTACTACCAAAACTACTATGAAAAGGCAGCAAAATGGTAAACATAAATATATGCACACACATGCAAAGACATACATGTCTTACTGCTTCTATTACAGCACTATAGGGATAGAGCAGCCTTTGCCTTGACAAATTTGTCTTGAAATTCCAGTCCTCCGTGGAGACTCTTGTACAGATTTGTACCTGTACACATAGTGGTACCCACAAGTACAAACCAATGGACTCTCCTCATGTCACAGTTAGTTTGAAGGAAACCACAGCTGACGTGAAGCACCGATCAACCAGCTAGGGTTTACACTGGATTAAATTACACAATCAGGAATTAGTAGAAGTTAGCTATATCAATAAAGAAAAACGTTATTTTACAGAAACTAAGTTCACAATGAACTTGTATTACAAGACGGAATTCCCATTCAAAGATTTCATTTGGATCCAATTTAGGGATCCTTCCTCACAGAGCCTCTTGGCAGGCTGGATAGTCTAGAGTTGGTCTCCTTTTCCCCTTCACAGCAATTAAAGAGAAATGTCTTGTAAATTGATAGAGTGTAAGAATATAGTAACAAAAAGTAATAATTAAGCTTTACTGCAACTATCATTAAACCATATCTTACATGAGATTCAAACATGTCACCCCCCATAGCAGTCAGGTCAACTGGTTGAAACGCGTTGCTCCTTTCCACCACATGCCATTAGCCAGGACCTACCAACTTGCTTTTCTTACACAAAAATATCCCTCAACTGACTGTACACCGATACAATTTTCTGTATATTTTATTTAATTGATCTAATTTTGCAAATACTCTTTTCCTTCCAGGTTTCAAAACAGTTAAGTAAATAAAATCAATGTTTTTGAAACAGTATAATTACAACTGCAAATTATCAAACCCAAGTTAATCCCTACTGGACTTTTTTTTTCCAATTTAGAAATAAGATGGTTACATCAAATGCATATGCCTCTTCACTCCCACCACGGGCTATGATTGAAACAATCTTGTTCGAGAACAGACATCACTTTCCTTTTCTTTTTCCTGAACCAAACCCTTATTAAGAGCATGGTTTTATTACAGCCTTGTGTTGCAGTCGCTGCAGTAGTTCTGAGCAGTCCCAACGTCGCCGTTTTCCAAAACGCCAAGAAGCGGGAGCGCAGGTGCTGCCGCGCCTGCCGGGCCTCACGCAACGCCCTCCCGGCGCTGGCAGCCCGCACGCGGCCGCCAACGGTCGCCGCCAACGGTCGCTGCCGCGCCGCCCCTCCCCGCCGCGGCGGCCGTTACGCCCCAACCGCCGCCGCGCGCGCCGCTCCCGCTGCACAAAGCCCGTCGCTTGGCAGTGCGGCTCTGGGGCACGGCAATCCCGCCGGGAAACGCCAGCACCGCCCCAGGCTGGCCCCTCACCTAGCGGCCGGCCAAGTTCAGAGCCTCGGTGCTCGCTGCGGGCGCCGAGCCCCGCCGCAGCCGCCGCCCGCGGCGCGCCCTCCC